TCAAAGAGCAGTGAGCAGAGCTCCCTGCACTATATGGCAGAGCACATCCATCCATCCCAATCTCCCAGTTCATCCTACCCACCCCCACCGTCTCCACACACCTGTTCCCTGTCTGCATCTCTACTCCTGCCCGGCAAACAGGTTCACCTGTACCATTTTCCTAGCTTCCACATAACTGAGTTAATATGAAGAGGAAAATTTAAAATCTTGCACCCAGCTAGAAATAACCTCACGCTCAGTTCTCCCTCTGCAACTCAGCTAGCTCCTTGCAAAGTCATGTAGGTTACATAGTTTTGGGAAGAAAGAAACTTGCAACAATGCTAGCAGCTGAAACTTACCTCACTCCCCTTGTCAGTTACCCAGCCCCTGTGCTCAGGCAAAAATCATGTTTTTTTGTGTAAAGATCAGGCATCCCCCACTGCTGTGTCCTAACAACCTGTATGCAGGAAACCCCTACTCTGAACTAGCCTACTCACAGTCAGCACTGCCCGCTAAAGTCTGGGGTCATGCACTGTCTATAAAAACTCTGTAACTCCTTTGTTTGGGGCCCAGAGCTGGAAGTGTTAACTCCTCTGGGCCCACCAGCATAATAAGCCTGGGTTCTCCAACTCTCCCTGTGTGGTGCTTGGTTTCCCAACAGACTTTACAACAAATATACAACATGTGTTTTACTCTGACTTACCTCACTCCATATGACAGATTCTAGGCCCCTCCATGTCTCTACAAATGACCCAATTTTGTTCCTTTTTATGACTGACTTTTAATGAACAAAGTTGAAACAGGTTATCCGAAACTTTCAGTTTCTCAAAAGCATCCATCCGTCAGTTTCTCAAAACAATCTCTTTTTTCCACATCTTCCTCCATGCTGATGTGCCTGCCCATTCCTCCTGCTAAGTGCTGGCAATCCTGCCTCTGGAGGCCACCCTTCACTGCTTGCCTCCTATAACCCCTACCCCACCTGACCCCACCCTACCCCTCACCCTCACTTGGTGGTGGTTTCATCACTAGGCTGTGTCCTAGGCCCTTGCAACCCCATGTAGCCCGCCAGACTCCTCTGTCCATGGGATTTCCCAGGCAAGAATACTGGAATGGGTTGCCATTTCTTTCCCCAGGGGATCTTCCCATCCCAGGAATTGAACCCAGGTCTCTCGGCATCACAGGCAGATTATTTACCAACTGAGCTATAAGGAAGAGCTATAGTATTCACCCGTCAAGCTGCCTGACTTCCCCTCTAAAGAGATAGGGAGCTCTCTGCTCTATTCACACTGAAAATTCGAGCACACAGCAAACATAATACACACTCATAATACACAGCTTTTGGCTAAAAGAACAAATATGTATTCCAGCTACTTTCTAACACATGTTTTAAACAAGGCTTCCACTTAACTCTGAGCACCTAGAAAAACCTACATCCTTTATACAAAAGGATACATCCTGTATACAAAAATGTATACATCCTCTATACAAAAAGGAATCTTGTAACATCTGTAGCAGCTACAAAACAGCCCTGGGAAACCTACATAATATATACAAACTACCTATATGTGTGTGTGTGTGTGTGTGTGTGTGTGCATGTCTACATGTATGTATATGTATGTGTATGTGCTCAGTCGCTAAAGTTGTGTACGACTCTTTGCGACCCCATGGACTGTGGCCCACCAGGCTCCTCTGTCCAAGGGATTTTCCAGGCAAGAATACTGGAGCGGGTCACCACTTCCTCCTCCAGCAGATCTTCCAATGCCAGGGGTCGAACCCACATCTCCTGTGTCTCCTGCATTGACTGGTGGATTCTCTACCACAGCCCCATATATATGTATATATACAGCCTACCCAGGCGATACAGTTCATTTACAACAAACATGATACACATGAATGACAAATGAGTGTTTCTAACAATGCAGCATAACAAATTAAGAGGAAAGGTGGTAAGTCATTTTAACTTGTAACAGTAAGATGGGCTCAAAATCTGACCAAGCCCCCTGTCACTCACGCGCCCAGCCTGCTTTTCCGCACTGAGGGCCTCTTCCCACAGAGTAAAGCTCGGGCTATCATATATGCAAAAGGCCAGAGGGAGTGGAGGATTCATCTCCACCCTGGAAAGAATGCGCAGAGGGAAACCTTGAGCATCTTCCACATCAAAGGAACTGGAGTGAATTGCTATCCTGCCCACCCAGGAGAAATGCTCACATTCCTCCATGAACGTCTCCTCCCCACTCTCCTCAAGAGAGAACATATTTAGCTGTTGATATTATTCCATCCATTGAATTATTCAGTTCTCATATCAGCTGCATTATTCTATCTGCCTACCCAAATCTCTACCTTTGAGCCATCCACACATTTCAAACTCACGACTTCCATTATTCTGTAGATAACAGTCTTCTCTAGTCCTGTCCTACGCTCCTGGCACCAACCTTGGGGCCCAAGACACAGACCTCAGCCCTGACAATCCCTCTCACCACCCACATCCACCTGGTCACCTCTGTAATCTCCTAGATCTCTCTCAGATCCTTCCACACCTCCGCTTCCCTACTGCCTTAAACCATGCCCCATACATCACTTCTGAACTTTGACAATTTCTTAACTCCTCTCCTAACAACTCACTGCCAGAATTAGAACATCTAACTCCACTCACCCGAGTTTTTTTCTGCTAGTCTGCAGGGATCGTGTCTGGCTGGTCACCACTGTATTTCCCTCCAGTGCCTAAATGAATGCTGAGCACAACTGAAGAGGCAAAAATGACCACATGAATGAATGACCACATGAGAAAGATGGTCAGTACTCACAGAATTAGATTCCACTGCCTGCCATAAGCTCAAATTGACAGTGTCTAAACGTCTGTCTCTGAAGCAGAGGTAAAAAGACATTAATCCAAGGCTCACACCCAAAGGTAAATCATCATTTCACACACTGCCACATGCACTCATAATATAAATACATACTCTTTTCATGCTGCCTGACATGTTGGAGCTATTTCATGATAAAATGTACAGAATCATGGAGAATGATCTTTCTTTCCCAGAAGGTAAAGAAAAACTATGAAAATGCAAAAGCACAGGTGTCCTAGATGCCTTCCAGGACACATGGACAAGCACACCATCATCTTCAAGTCCTCCATGGCCTGAAGAGGGGGTCTGCTAATACCCAGATCAAATCCCAGAATTACCAAACAAGGCCACTTTCCAGCATCACCTACTGGGGAAGTCCACGTGAGCCCGTCATCCAGCTGGGGAAAGAGGTGCTCCACGTTAGGTAATCATATATATGCAATCACGTCCACTTGCTTACGAAATGTCAAAGCTTGCAATAAGACTGAAGGCCAACAACATTCCTCCTCTCTCCCCGGGCATTGGTTCCCGAAAGAGAAACCTGTTCACCCTGAGTGGTCGGCAAACAGGGCCATGCCGCGACAACCCACACCCACCTTCCAGACCTCTCCCACAAGACCAACACAAAACAAAGGCAGCGATCACCTTCCCAGAGAGGGAAGGCGGGCACTGTAATCACACTGCCTGCCTTGGATCCTGGCTGAACCGGTGTGGCCTGGGACAACACCCTTGTCCGTCTGTGCTATGGCTTTCTCACATTTAAATGGAGCAATCTTCACATCCATCTCCACAGAGGATGGGACCTCAGGAAACAGCAATAGTTAACAGAAAGGCAGACGAGAAAGAGCCCAAGGGGAAAAAAGTAAACAGCAAGGTCCTATTATGTGGCATAGGGAAATATATTCAACTTCCTGTAATAAACCATAATAATGGTTTATAATAATAAACCATAGTGGGAAAGAATATGATACAGTGTAATATGTATAAGTGTATCATTTTGCTGTACATCAGAAACTAACAAAACACTGTAAATCAACTATATACTCCAATTTTAAAAAAAGGAAGCTATGCTGTGCTTAGCGACACAGTCATGTCTGACTCTTTGAGGTCCTATGGACTGTAGCCCGCCAGGCTCCTCTGTCCATGGGGATCCTCCAGGCTAGAATACTGCAGTGGGTTGCCAGGCCCTCCTCCAGAGGATCTTTCCAACCCAGGGAACAACCCCAGGTCTCCCGCATTGCAGGCAGACTCTTAGCATCTGAGCCACCAGTGAAGCCCCACCCCCCACCCCCTGTCAAAAAAAATAAAAGAATCCAAATAAATAAATTTAAATAAATTACTGGAGTGATAATAGCTCTTAGGTGGTTGTTGCTGTTGAGTCACTCAGTTGTGTCCAACTCTTTGCGATCAGGGGTTGCATTGATGATTAAAGGAATTAATATTTATCACAGTGCCTGGCATAATCTAAGTGCTCTATCAATATAACTATATTACAATAGTAATATATAAATTTTAGTACTAATCTCACGCCTCTCATCTTCCCAAAGGATTCTATGCCCTACCAGTTCTCTTAAACACTAAAAGCAATGGTTCTCAACCGTTATAGCCTGCACCTGAATCACCTGGGAGGCTTCTTAAAACATCGACTGCTATGCCATGGACACAGAGCTTCTGATTCAGGTGGCCTGGGATGGGGCCTGAGAACATGCATTTTTAACAAGTTCATCTCAGGGATATGGGGGCAGCTGCTACTGGTCTGGAAAGACTTGTGGAAAGTTACTGGCGATGCGGCTTCTCTGCATCAGTGGAGGATGGTGTACGGGTCCAAACTTCCGGGGCTTCCTGTGACTGTCCACATCCCCATATGCTCTTCCAGTATCTCCACCCATGATTCCAAATTCAACGCAAGCATCAGACCTCTGCACTGGCATGAACACCATACTGTCATCCATGAAATCAGCTCCAGGGGACCAGGAGCTGCCCGACAATCAGAACCTGGCCTTACGCAGTGCACGGGACACAGAGAACCCTCAATAAATGGCGACAGAGAATGAAAGCCAGAGCGCCAACAATCAAAGGCATGCCTGGAGAACCAACTAAAATGGAAAGTCTCAGGGGCCGACAGGAGCTTCCTCTCACAACTGTTCACTGGAAAGGAAGGGCCCTGAGACCACAATGAGCCCACGATCCCTTCACCCCAGCGAGCAGCTTCTCCACTCAGTGGACCATTCATTCTCGGCCTCCAACCACAACGGGTGCTCCCACGCTTTGAAGGTAAGGGAGCTTCAATTTCTGGTCTCTCACTGGCATCGGCCCCCCAGAGGGCTTCAAGCCTCTCGCTAGGAGATGCTGAGTGTTCTCAGGGACAAGGATGCAATCAGTAAGCATTTTTATGTAAGCATTTCTGGTAAAGGGCCCCAAAAGATCTCAGTAGAAACAAGAAAGCAATCACCAGCAAATGGTTGTGATTTTTTTCTGTTCTAGATAAGCATTCACTTTGATGGCTAATTTGGTATTATTTTGCTTAATGAGGATCCCCTTCTGTTCACCTTTCAGGTGTTACAAAATCGGGAACTGCCCCCTTCACACCCTATGCACACGCTTCTCCTTGGCCCTTTACCTTTTCTGTAAATTTCTCCAAAACATCATCCATCGTGCCCCTTCCTTACAGCATCTTAACCCAGCCAACCACACTTTTATAAACACCAGCCAGGTAGGACTTTAAATGCTTTTAAGAAGTTCAAGGTGTCTTGCCGATCTCTCTATCCAATGAAGATGGGGTGGGGGCGAAATGTGCCAGACACAATCCAGGCAGAGTATCTACCTGATCCTCCCAACACAGGCAAAAAGCCTTTCTTCAACAGAAAACTCTTTCTTCTACAGCTGAAGATAATTTCGATATGAAACCCCTCAATTTTCTTAGGTAATTACCAGCAATTGCAAGGAAGGTTTTAAGAAACCAAGTGCTCTCCATGTCAGAAGATAGTATTTAAAATTCTAAGTACTATTTTCATTCTCATCCTAAACAATTTAATAACTTTAATTTGAAAATCACTTGTGTGGTTTACATGCACTTAAAGAAATCATCCGTTGAGCTGTTATGGATCATTCACTCAAAAGGCTAAATTGGTATTTTAGGATTCTCTCCTAAATAAGCATGTTGGAGTACTCTGTACTTCTAGAGAGACATTTAAGGAAAAACAGATATACCTTTTAAAATAAATATTATATATATTCAGCTATGGTTATAGATTTATACATACACACAAAGTCCTTTCTAGGTGGCAACAGTGACCTCTATTTACCTGTAAACTCTGGGTAGAAATCAAGATGAAATACAGTAAAGCATATGAATAATATGAAAATTAGCTGATACTTCAATGTGTAATACACACAGGATACATATAACGTTTTACTAATTTGCCCAGTTTGGCTATATTAGGTCCTTAAAAACATGCTAAGGAAGACACATAATAAATTTCATATTATTAAAAATACTGTTCATCTTGTCCCAGATTAGTCTCAGTTTAACAACCCAAAGAGAATGAAAACAATGTTCGTTTTATTCACGATGACTTTCCCAGGCGACTCAGTGGCAAAAAATCCACCTGGCAAGCAGGAGACTTGAGTTTGATCCCTGGATTGCGAAGATCCCCTGGAAAAGGAAATGGCAACCCACTCTAGTATTCTCTCCTGGGAAATCCCATGGGCACAGGAGCCTGGGGGGGCCACAGTCCATGGGGTCGCAGAGCAGGTCACAACGTAGCAGCTAAATGACAACTTTAACTCTCAAGATGTGTAAATCTGAATGCTCATTTCTATTAAATCTGCATATTTACACTGTCTCACAGTAACTTGGGATAGTGAAAAAGCATGGATTCTGCACTCAGAAATATCCACACTCAACTCCCAGGTCCACCAGTTCCTGTGAACAAATTCCTGGATTTTTCCCTGCCTTAGTTTCTCATCTGTTCAGAGCTAGTAACATCTTCTTGGTGAATTTTATGCAACATTTTAAGTAAAGTGACTAGCATGGTGCTTGGTACAGAGCTGACTTTTCTTGAGAGTTCCATGGACTGCAAGGAGATCAAACAGGTCAGTCCTAAAGGAAATCAATTCTGAACATCCACTGGAAGGACTGATGCTGAAGCGCCAATACTTTGGCCACCGTATGGGAAGAGTGGACTCATTGGAAAAGACCCTGATGCTGGGACAGGCTGAGGGCTGGAGGAGAAGGGGGCAGCAGAGGATGAGACGGTTGGACGGCATCAAAGACTCAATGAACATGAGTTTTAGCAAACTCCGGGAGATACTGGAGGACAGAGGAGCCTGGTGTTGCTGTCGGTGGAGCTGCAAAGCATCTGACACGACTTTGCGACCGAACAACAAAACTAACCTTATTTTAAGAATGGTTTGGAGAATCCTTGCCACTTCGGATGTGACCAGGCTAACGATAAATACTCTCTAAAGATTTTCATTTCCCCTACATTTAAAATGCTTATTACCAGAGATCAAAGAGGTGCCGCAAAGACAAAAGCACAATGTGCTATCTAAACATCCACCTGTGAGAAAGGACTGCCCAAATATTCCCTTTTGTATCCACACCTGTGCTACCTCACAGCACACCAGCCTGTGTGCTCTCCTAGAGCTTCCCCCCTTGACAGACGTGCAACTAACATCTGTTAAATTGAAATGCTGCTGATCCAAGCAAAAAGTGATTGCTAATGGAATCGAATCCTTAGACCTGTTTGTGATTTGGTGCATCGGTGAAGCAGGTTTTTCTAGAGTCCCCAGGTTCACCACGAGGCTCTTCGGTAACTCCAAGTGCCGGATGCCGATGAAATTTCTAGAGCAGGCTCGGGTAAGCACCGAGGCACGGGTGAAATCCCCACACACCGCGCACAAGTTGCTTCAGACGCTCTAATCCACTTCGTGGAAACCAAACCAGATTTACCAGCGATCAACGCACTATTTGCTTAACAAATGGACAGTGCGCTGGGGAACTAATTGCTGAAGAAATTGCCTCTGGAGTTCGCCACCACTACCGCCGTATTTTTTTTTTTTTTTTTTTTTTTTTTTACTGTTACGAGACACTCTGTAACCTATACACAATTATCAGTGGGCTCTCTGCGCAAGGAACCCAAGCGGATTCTCCGGATTTCCACGAAGGGGGTGCATCCAATTCCGCCCAAATGAGGGACTGGCCTCTTCAGAAAGGAGTTCCCAGGGAGACCAAACGTAGGTCCTTCAAAATGCAAAGAGATCCCGGGGCAGGCTGCCCTGCCCTGGTGCGCCCTCCCGCACCCCGATGCTTGGGGTACCTTTCTGACTCCCGAACCGGCAGCTCCACTGGCTTCCCTTCCCGGCCGCTCAGGATCCCAGGTTCTGTTGGCAGCGGACACCCCTGCCCTCCTAGCACGAGCAAGAAGCAGCCCGGTTGCCCCGCTCGCCCGCGCGGCTTCACCTATCAGAGGCCGCGTCCCGGGAGCTGCAGGGGGGCCGGCGAGAGCCCCTTACCTGCGTGGGCCCAGCCACCGGGGCTGCTGCCGCCGCCACTCGCGAGCTCCTAGAGCCACCGGGACGCGGCGGGGGCCGGGGCATCGCCCGGGGCAGCGCGACTTCCTCGGCCCCGCCTCCCGCCGGCCCCGCCTTCGCGCCCGCCCCCGCCGGCCCCGCCTTCGCGCCCGCCCCCGCCGGCCCCGCCTCCGGAGCGGGAAGGCGGCCGAGCACCGCCCCGAAGCCCCAGCCCTGGCGTCCCGGCGCCGGCGCCGCGCGGAGGAGGTCCGCGGGCTGCGGCAAGGAGCCTCCGCCGCCGGCTTCTGGCTCGGTGAAGAGCAAGCGATTACGTTTATCTCCTTCGTCTGAGTTGACTTACAGGAAGAAGAAAATGTGTCCCAAAAGTCTGGTTAAGGGAGTTGAGATTCCTTCCTTGTAGTGCAGGGTAAGAACGAAGTGTGGACCAGTGTAGGTGGCAAACCTGTAATTGCTTAATCGCTTGTCTCGCTGATGCGCGCACCTTGTCTCTCCCTAGATGGCTCAGAGGGTAAAGAATCCGCCTGCAATGCAGGAGACCTGGGTTAGATCCCTGGGTTGGGAAGATCCCCTGGAGGAGGGCTTGACAACCTTTTCCAGTCTTCTTGCCTGGAGAATCCCGTGGACAGAAGAGCCTGGTGGGCTGCAGTCCATGGGGTCGCAGAGAGTCGGACAGGACTGAGCAGCAGTAGCAGAGGGTCGATGGGAGGGGAAGCGCCTCCGTTTTTACCACGCAGACCCTAAGAGGTGCCGGAGGCAGGCGTCTCAGGAAACCCGTGCCACGTACGCGTGATTGTGGCTGGAAGCCGGCCAACCAGATACACGGAGCTCCGTTTCTCATCTTTAAAGGTGAGATGACAGTCTCAAGAGTCTCTTAAAGATGCCTAAGTGCGATGACTGGCACTAAGGCGTTGAGTCAACATTTGCTTTTGTTCCTTACCCGTGAATTTTTTTTCTACTTCTTCCTTTTCCTTTCCCTCCTGCTATAATCATGCACTGTATTTACTCTTTATCTCTGCCCTGTCACTTTCTTTTCTTATTAAGCCTTCATCTACTGGGCTCCGAGTCTGTGCGCTGCAAGGCGTTTGGGTGCTTACGAGATGTTCTGTAAGATCCCTGCCCGCTGGGAGGTCAGGAATTCCCAAGACACCCCCACCACCCACAAGAAAATAGCTTTGAAATTAGATACAAGAGAGTTAAACACGCTAAACTGGCTGTCAGACCGACCTGGCATTCTATAGGTTGTTGTGGGTCTGTGAGCTGGTGAGGAGTGTAATTGATATAATTGGTGGCTTCGAAGAGCTCCACCGAGGCTGAAGTCAGAATGACCTCAAATCCAGTGCTGGCTTGGCAACTGGTTGTGTAAGCAGTAACTTCACCTAAAGTCTGAAATTCAACTCTTCCTGAAAAAAACACAAAAACAAAAACCCTGGAATTAATGTAATAAACCTGCATAGATCTGAGCAATGATTCATTTATATAAAGTACTTAGCACAGTGTTCTAGCCTATGTTTAGCACTTAAGAGAGGTTAGGTGATGATAAGAGTAGGGTAGGAAATGGAGGCCGGGGAGATAAAAAGTTAGAAAACGTGAAAACTTAGGAGGAAGTATTAGGAGTGCTGGCATCATGGTGAAAAGCACACTTCTCCTTAACAGCTACTGGTGATGAGCTAAACTGGTCACCAGTTTCTGTGCTTGGCATGAGACACGTGATCATGTTTAACGCTCACAAACCTGAGAGAAAGTTCATAGCATCCCTCAGATAAGATGAGGAAAGTTAACCTCAGAACCATGAAATAACCAGCCTGAAGGAATGAATCAAGTGAGCAGTGGAGTCAGAGAAACATGAGGTAGGTGGCAAACCTGGGCTTTTTCCCTCTGTTTTCCATGCAGCTCCGAAGGAAACAGGGAAAATGCCTTAGAAAAGGAGGCAGCGCACTGCCTAGGAGAAATAGCAACCACACCTTTAAAGGAGACTAAGGATACAACCCAGTTAAAATAGTAAATGAACCCACCCACACAAAAAGCTTTTTGCTTCTAAAACTCCTGCCACAGTGGAGTTCCTGTTCTGTGGTTCCTGCCGCCTAACCACAAGTTGAAAATGACTAACAGCATTTTTCAATCATTAAATGCTACAGAAAGTGAAACGTCGAAAGATCATAGAAATCTAAGGTCATGTCTCTTCTCTCTCAATGCCGTACCCTCTTCTGTCCATCTTCCTTGAGTTTTTGGATTTTTAATTGCCCATACGTGTCATCTGCCTCTTTCCAATATATTTCACCCAGTGAATAAATAATCCTGTTGTTTTAACCAATGTAACTTGGCTGCATAACCGCAAACAGCACTTAGAACAGCAGTTGGACTCATGTAAGTGGCTGATTTTGATACACTGTTGTTATAATGACTTTCTTGATTTTAAAAGGTTTGAACCAAGTCCTCTCGGCCCTGTTAACCCTGTTATAGTTCTTAAAAAAATAGAACTCCCTGCATTTTTTTTCCATTTTTCTTGGAGTATAGTTGCTTCACAAAGCTGTGTTAGTTTCTACTGCACAATAAAGTGAATCAGCAAACGTACACATATATTCCCTCTTTTTTGGATTTCCTTCCCATTTAGGTCACCACAGAACATTGAGTCGAGTTGCCTGTGCTGGACAGTAGGTCCTCATTATTTACCTATTTTATGCATAGTACTGTATATATGTCAGCCCCAATCTCACAGTTCTTCCCACCACCACCCCCACCCCTGACCTTTCCCCCCTTGGTATCCATACATTTGTTCTCTACATCTGTGTCTCTATTTCTGCTTTGTAAATAAGATCGACTACACCAATTTTTTTCAAACCTTGCTTGTTAGTTCACATGAGCAACAAGGTATTTGACCTCTGAAGAAACAGCCCTGTTGTCAATACGGTGATTGAACTTATGCCTGGTTGCAAGACAGTCTGATGACTTCCCTTTCTAAAACTGTGAAATGGCAGACGTGTCTTCTGTGGGTGCCTTGTGCTACTCTGCCGTCGGAGCTGTCCTGCCTTCAGAAGCCCTGTCAGGGAGGGATGTGAGCAACGTGGTGCCTGTTTGAATGAGCCCGAGCAACTTAAACAGGACGAGGTTTGTGGTCACCTAGAACCTCTGCCCAGGGTGTTAGAGTCGTCTCTAAAAGAGAGAAAACTATGTCTGTAAATGTTGAGGAGCAAGAACTCCAGCTCTTTGCTCTTTGGTAGGAAATCATGACAGGCCTCCTCATGTCTTCCTGACAGAGCTGGCCGGATGGTCAGACCAGTCCAGCTCGAACTGAAGGGCTCAAGGCTAATCCTGGGAGGACAACTCCCTTGAATGCCCAAGAGAGAGGTTTCTGAGTTCTACTGACAAAGATATTAAGGGCTTGGCGCCTAGCATCCCTTATCTCTGTTGGTGCTTCTTATCATTTCTGGGCCAACAAAAGCTGAAATAGAAAATCAATTGCGATATAAACATATAAATCTAGAACTATTAGGCAGTGAAACTGATGCCAAGCAAAATTTAGTCTATGATCCAGGTGGCCAATGTTTAGTGTGTGCTCTAAGGAGGAAGCTTGTGTACCTTGTTACATGGCATTGAGAAAATGGCATTTCTTTTATTGTTCGTACAAACAGGCTTTGTTATTATATTTACTCAGGGATTTTTTTTTTCTGTCTTGTAATTGTCATGGCAGATTATAGAAAGCATATTCTCTTTTTATAGTGGCAGTTGTGGAAAGATCAAATTTAGTGATTCACCCCAGGCTTGGCTCTGCCAACTAGATGTGTGTTTTCCTGCAGGGTTTCAGTATCTTGAACAAAGGTGTGGCTCCAACAAAAACGAGTGTTACTTTCTAATTACTCAAAAAGAAGACTTACTGTAAAGCCTTTCTTTGGAAACCAACTATTGGTCATATTACTAGTAATTCTACGTAGCAAATTATTGGGTTGGCCGAGAAGTTCGTTTTTCTGGAACATGAAAACCCAAAAGAAGTTTTTGGCCAAGTATTTGAACTGTCTAGTATTAGTCACTCAGTCGTGTCCATATCTTTGCAACCCCATAGACTGTAGCTTGCCAGACTCCTCTGTCCTTAGAATTCTCCAGGCAAGAATACTGGAGTGGGTTGCCATTACCTTCTCCAGGGGAAACTTCCCGATCCAGGGATCAAACCTGGGTCTCCCTCATTGCAGGCAAATTCTTTACCATCTGAGCCACCAGGGAAGCCCCCTCACAGCCACCACAAGCTGATTAACTGGGAATATTCACAGGCATTAGCTTCCTCAAAGTTCCACTTTTATGGATATTATGCTTTCTACAGGTGAGAATTTCTGTGACCAGTGTGAACACATGCTAATAGTTGCTTTTAAAATGTTAAATACATAAATAAAAATTAAATTAAAATGTTAAAATCATTAGAGACATGAGAGTAAATCTTAAGAACCTTAATCCCCGGTTCATCAGAAGAGTCAAACAGACCCAAACTTACTGCTTTCGTGGGAAACTTCGTCTGGCTCAGGGTTGTCCTTTATCGCCGACATGCTTATGTCTGGTGATGTGAGTTACATCCATTTAGCTGACTTCACTTTCACTTTTTGCTTGCATGCATTGGAGAAGGCAATGGCAACCCACTCCAGTGTTCTTCCCTGGAGAATCCCAGGGACGGGGGAGCCTGGTGGGCTGCCGTCTATGGGGTCGCACAGAGTCGGACACGACTGAAGCGACTTAGCAGCGGCAGCTAGGTGCTTCATCCCTCTTCCAGACTGAACCAGAACAGGAGAGCGTTTTGCCCTGTACATCGTTGCTGTGGCCCCTGTGGAATCACTTTTCTAGAACGTGCTCTATTGTGTTTCCATTGGCTCTAGTGAGGAGCGTCTTAGGATCAGCCCAGCGAAGTGACTTCTTGAATTTACACTTGAAATCTTAGCCAGGATCATTGCTTTTAAAATTCCACTGATCAAGGCAGAAGTTGTGTATCATCACATGAATGCAAATCTAGGCTTTCCCGAAGCAGTTGACTTGTGGGCATCCTCTGGCTTCCACAAGTAACTCATGTGGATCTGTTTCCCTGTCTAATTTTTTTTGTTCCGTTTTTTGTAAAAATCAGAGGATAATTGCTTTACAATATTGTGTTGTTTTCTGCCAGGCATCAACGTGAAGCAGCCACAAGTATATATATATATACATACCCGCCCCTCCCACCGCTGTAGGTTGTCCTCTGGGACAGGCCCTGGCCTGTGTCACACAGCAAACTTCCACGTGCTATCTATTTTACATTTCAACCCTGAGAATGGAAGAAAATAATTACAAATGAAACAACTGACAAAGGACTTATTTCCAAAATATACAAGCAACTCATGCAACTCAATACCAGAAAAACAAACAACGCATTCAAAAAAATGGGCAGAA